TATCAAGTTAAATTCTCAGCAGCAGTGCTCAATTCTACACTGGAAAATCATTTTTCCTGGAAGATCCCCTCAAAGTGGTCATGAAGGGCAATCTAGATCATCTTGCATTTGTTTGAATAGCAACTGACTTTATCTAGGCTGGACACATGGTTAAGCTGTATTTCCCAGAGCGCTTACAATTAAGTTGGGGCTTGTGACTGAATTTCGGCCAACAGAATATGAGTGGAAGAAATGTAGACAGCTTCCAAAAAGGCCCTTAAAAATCTTTTTTCTCCCCTTCAGAGACCTCAGAAGCCACATATTAAAAATGATGGTGACATACATAAGATAGAAAAAAACCTGAGTTCCTGAATGATTGCATGAAGAACAACAATGCACTTTTATTGTGTTAAATATTAAGTTGGGAGAGGCTGTTGATTAAGGCAACTACTATTGCTTATCCTAACTAACACAGGGAGTATCTGGTTTACTCAATGATCCCCAAATCAAAAAGGCTCAGCTGGTTCTTTGTGTGTCAGCCATGACTCTGCCTTTGGCTCATGTGGCTTCTCACAGAGCCCCTGGCATCTAACCTAGTATCCAGCAGATAGTAGACTCCTCTGGGTGTGGGCTCATGTATGCTTGTGGAATGAATGAAATCATACAGGAGGCTTATGATTCCAACTGGCTTACAAGTAAGCAAGGTTTACTCTGCCATCTGAAATGGATCATCACCTGGCCTCTGCCCCCTACCATATGTACATTCTTCATCCCCTGAACAAGCCCGTTTCAACTACTCATGGTCTCTGTACACAGCCCCCACAAGAAAAGCCTGATGCTGGGACTGCCCTTCAGAACAGAGGCTGCTGTGCAGAGAAAAGAGGTGTCCCCAGCACAGTCGTTTCTCTTCTTCTGCCGACGCTAATTATAGTTTGCTAAATGCAAACTGGGGAAACATCTCGCCCACCCTAATGAGTTCCAGAATTGGGCTCCTTGTCTTCACAGTAACCCAGAGCAGAAAGCTCCTCCTCCTTCTAAGTCTTTGATCTTTTTTTCTCCCAATGTATCTGGGAAACAGAGAGGTACACTCATAGAGAAGATGAGATTGAAACTGCCCAACTTCCCCACCTTAGGCCCTTTCTTTTGGTGGCTTGCTCTGAGGCAAAGCTGGAGCAGAAGTGGAGGTGTGCAGAAGACACCGCCGGGCTGGCAGGGGGTTAATTACTAGCACACGCATGCAGCACTGTGGTGGCTGACTGGAAATGTGGTTACACAACTCATTATATTGGCACAACAAACTGGAGCTTCCTTGAAGGGCCCCCGCCCATGGGATCACCATGTTGTCATTTTGCTACACAATTATTCCTTTCTTCCATTTTAGTATCACTTGTTGAATCTCCTCCCTCTGTTAAAATCCTTCTCCTCCCTCTAGGACAGTGATGGCGAACCTATGACACGCGTGTCAGAAGTGACACGCGAACTCATTTTTTTGGTTGATTTTTCTTTGTTAAATGGCATTTAAATATATAAAATAAATATCAAAAAATATGTCTTTGTTTTACTATGGTTGCAAATATCAAAAAATTTCTATATGTGACACAGCACCAGAATTAAGTTAGGTTTTTTCAAAATGCTGACACGCTGAGCTCAAAAGGTTCGCCATCACTGCTCTAGGACATCACTAAGAGTCACCACTTCCGTACAGCCTTCCCTGGTTTTAAGTGTGATCTGTAGCCCCTAGCAGCCAAGCACTTGTCCCCATCCATGCAAATCTATCTTTCCTCTGTGCTGTCACTGGACGTAGCACGGCCTCTGTGACACTACTTCCAGGGTCTAGGAAACAGGATTGATGGGTCTCTAAGGTCTTTTCATGCTTCAAACATTATTTTGTGAGTACTTGGGAGTAATTTTAAAATATCATAGCCTAGTGGAAAGGTGGTGGCTTTGACACCAGAAGAAGAGTCTGAGCATCTAATCGGTGGCTTTTGGCTGAATGATCTGGGGAGGACTTACCTGTCATGTATCTGGGCTCAGTTTCCCCATCTGTAAAATAGTAGTAGTGCTGACATTCCTTCACAAGCCCACAGAGTAATTTAAGCTAGGCCATGCCTGTGAAAGCACTTTATAAATGATGGCATTCCATGTTTGTATTAGCCATATTCATTTGTGAAAAGCCTGAGCCTCTCCCTACTCAGGGAATACCATCACTACTGCTGGGTTACACATCTCCGCACACACAGCTCAGCTTCTGAGGATCGTGCCCAACCATCACCAGAGCCTCCCTGCCTGAACAAAGACCTTTATTAAGAATCCCCAGGCAGCTTCACGCTAATAGTGGTGACAGCTTTGGCCACCCTTTCCTGGGTACCAACCACTTGTTAAGCATTAGCTAGGCCCTTGCCACATAAACTGAGTGAAAGAATCAGGCAGGCTTACAGTCAAGTCCTGGATTTGCAAATGAATATTTATGTGATCTTGAGAAAATCGCTTCACTTTTTGACTCTCTGTTTCCTTGTCAATAAATCAGCGGTGCTCGGGCCTACTATGAGGAACTGTTGTGGAAATGAGGATGCAACAACCCACTTAAAGCTCACAGACACAATGCATAGAAGGCACACGACAAAAATGAGTCTCTTTCTCCTACATTCCTTTCAGCACCAAGAATGTAGAATTCCACAATATGAAACATTCATCCAAATAAATAGGAGTGTGATAGATGATGGGTGGCTCCTAGGGGAGTGATGTGAGAGAAAGATTTTGCCAGAATCTCTCTTCCAGTATCACAATGGGGGCCCTGCATGAGCCTTTCACCCACGGTGATCATCACCACAATATTTTACAGTGAGCATTTATTTTTCTTATTAAAAAAATAGGGTATTCACAATGATGCATGTGATAAATATGCCAGCTTTAAACCTTTTAGAAATATTAAAGGTTTCCCAGCTCAATGTTTGACAGACTTGATTAATCCTTTCCACACAGACACTCAGGAAGATAGCTGCGGCTGGGTTTTAAAGCTCCAGGAGTGCTCTCTGACAAAGGGAAAGAAAAGGTAAAGAGCTTTCAAACGAGAGAGAGAGAGAGAGAGAGATCCTCATGCCACAGAACAGACAAAGAATTCGAAGACTCAGAAGGCTTCACAGTATGTGGAGAGTTGGGAGCTGGGGTGGGGCGGAGAGGGGGAGAACCGCACTATAAAATCTCGCTCCTCTGGAGGATTTTCAAATGAAAGGCCCCCATCCAGCCTGACCACATTAGTCTAAGAGTTTTCTTCTCTGCTGGGTTCCCAAATGGATGATGTGGGAGGGGGCGCTGGCAGGGCAGACCCAGGGCAGTACAAATCCAGAGAGGAATACAATGCAAGGTACCATCGTCCCTTCTCATCATCCAGGACTATTCTCCAGCCCACTGCCTGCTCTCTCAGTCACCAGGACTATTTCCCGTGGTGACCTCTCCAATCCCCAACTGGAGTTTCAGCTCCTATAAGAAACAGGAAATACATTTTGGCTATTTTTTTTTTTTGCCCCTCAGCACCTACTCTAGCTTTTGTACAGAACAGGTGCCTAGCAAACATTTGTTAAACAGAGTCGGTGTTTAATGAATCCTTGACAAAATTATCCTAGGATACATGGGGCAAAACCCCTATTTAAGAATCAAACGTTAGAAATTACTAAGAGATTCTGCCTCCTTCTGATTCCCACTCCACAAATGAAAACTGAGCTTAGAAACGAAACTATTGAGATTTCCAAGTAAATCCTCATTTGACAAACAGATATTGACCATCCTGGGTGACGTGGACATGGTCCCCAGCTCAGCCACAGTGCCTGGGAAAGGAGACTTGTTGTCATGTGGGAGGCGCTAGGATGGATGTGCATATGGGAAACCACGCAGGACAAAGGGAGGTACCCCAAGCCCACCATTTATGTTCATGGGGAATGTCAACAAAAAAGGTTTGAGAATGAGTGGCAGACACTTGAGCTGCACACTGAAGGATGCTGGGAAGGCAGCAGAGGGAAGGAAGCATGCCTCCCCATATCACATGTACAGTCTTGAGCTGTGAATTTCCATGTTAACTACAAATAAAACACTTGCTCTGCTAAGCAGCCTCCCCCACAAAACCTTGAAGTGTCTGCCCACTCCGCTGTGGTGTTTTTCTCTGATGTTCAGGTCAATCGCCAATGCCAACTCCTACTTCATTTATATGGAAGCATTTCCAAACACAAAACACCGATATATTTGCCACACGATATTAGAGCGGCAAAGAAGTAATTCAATTATGTGACTTAATCAGTTCAAATGGCTGATGTACAAGGATCGCAGGATGCTACCCTGCTTTCAACTGAGGGCGAATAATTGTTCCATAATTTCTTAATTCTCCCATAAGACACTTTAAATTAAAGAATGTCAATTTGCCAAGCCAGACTGCATTGTATTCTTAAATTGGGCCTGAAATAGCCACGGGATGAAGGGTAATAAGGCAGAGAGCAGAGCCCAGAGTGCCTGGTGCTGTGCAAAATTGTTTAATACGGTCAGACCCTTTAATCTTCATATCTACTGATGCAGAAAGCAGCATATTTCTGTCACTTATGATAAGAAACATTACTCTTTAAATTCCTTGGTGAGGCCTGCCGATCTTAGGCAGCCAAGATAGCAGGAATCTCCATTTCTGTGTCTGTGAACATTTCCCCCCCCCCCTTAAATTGGTTTTATTCTAATCCATTTAGTCTCCAATTTAAGCCAGAGACAAGTAACCCTGATTGCAAACACACAGGAGAACAAAGGCTTGTGCCTTTCAGTTCTCAGATTCCACTGGCCACCATCTTCTTGGATAAATCAGTGATTAAACAAAGAATGAACCTGAGAGACTGGGCTACTATAGGACAGGCAGTTAGTTCCAGAAAGTAAGAGAATTGGAGCAGCTTTTGAGAGATACAAAATCATGCTCAAAAGTTGAGGGTGCAGAGGGGGGAGATGGGGATGATTTGAATTATTTGCGTAAAAGAACCAAGCATTTTACTCACGTGTGTCCTAGAAAATGGTTTGGTCAATGTGTCCAGGCTGGGTGGGGGTGATGCTGGGGAAAGGCGGGTCCTGAGGTCTGGACTGAAGAAAGTGGCTGATGTTTTCCCAAGATTGCCAGGGCCACGAGTCAGGAATTGTCATCGAGAGAAGCCAAGAACATACCTGCATTGAAAGAAGTATATGTCAGTTTCAAAAGCAAGCCACTGAAGGAGAAAGGAGGATGAAGTACACAGTTGTCAGAATGGAGCATCATTCTGAGGCATATGTGATGCATGAGGTGGGCCTGGGGCACAGAGATCATAGGAATCATGACAGGCTAAACAAAAGGGAATGTGTGCCTCTGTACCTAGCCTTATGCTGGACAACGTGGAGGGTACAAACTAAGCATAAAACATTCGTCAATTTTTAGTTTAAGAATTTGGACTGGGTTATACATACATAGTCTAAAATTCAACAGGTACAAATTATACATTCTTTTCCTTGAGTGAATCTATCTGTAGGATAAATACCTAGAAGGAGAATTATTGGGTAAAAGAAACATCTTTTAAATTTTGATAGGTACTGTCAAATTACCATTTATAAAGGTTGTACAATTTTACACTATCTACAGCAATATATGAAAGGATAACTTTCCCATGCCCTCACCAACAGAGCCAATCACAGTTTTTTTTATTTAAAGAGACATGAGATATAAGGCATACAAATGGCAATCATAGTGCTAATATTTAATGAAAGATCACAGCAGTTTAGGTACAGTTTTAGTCTCTCTACATATTAATTCATTTATTCCTAGCAGCAGCTCACTGATGTAGGGACTATTATTATCATCATTAAACAGATAAGGAAATAGCAACAGAGAACTTGAGAGAACCAGAAACACCAATCAGAAAGGATATATGCACCCCTATGTTCATAGCAGCACAATTCACCATAGCTAAGATTTGGAAACAGCCTAAGTGCCCATCAGCAGATGAGTGGATTAGAAAACTGTGGTACATATACACAATAGAACTTAAGAATCTTGTTCATGGCCAAAGCTATGAAAGACAGAGCTGGGATTCCAACACTGGCACAGAGCAGTTCTTTGTAGCTCAAATTCTTAACTGATAGCTCTTTTTCCAGAAGGTGGGATGTCATCTATGGTATGTGTTATAACAGGTACACAAATAGGAGAGTTGAGGTGGGGCATGTATGCAGGAAATCAGAGAGACCAGTTCTTTCTACTTAATGAAAGTAGACACAGGCTATTAACTGGGGAAATGTTGGGCTATAGTGATTGATAAGGAGCACTCTAAGAACATAAGAACACGTTGACACATTTTTCTTATTTTTTCTTATCTCTTTCACTGTGAAAATTCTATACCCATTCATGATGAATTAGGGTGGTTAAAACTTTGAAACTGAGTGTGTGCTGCAGTCAAGTGAATGTGGCACATTAAGTACCATACACGGGGTTCAAATCCAAGTTCTACCACTCTTTAGCTGGATGACCTTAAGTAAGTTATGTACCTTTCTTGAAACTCGCTCTTTTTCAAATGAAAAAATAAATGAGCCTATAACCCCAGAAAGATTTTTATGACAACTATGTAATAAATATCATTAGTTGCAAACAATTTCTACCTACTATTTGACCTTATCCCTCCCTGCTTCTCTTTACAGACCCTCTGCTTTCATCAACTTAGTGTATTTCCTTTTCTTAAGCATGATGGAATGTTTCAGTCCATGCTGAAATACTCCCTCCCAAGTCCTATCTGTAAGAATTCTACCATTCCACTGGTGTGTGTGGCTCAGTTGGTTGGAGCACCATTCTGTACACCAAAAGGTGGCGAGTTTAATCAGGCCTTTGGGCATGTGTGAGAGACAACTAATCAATGTTTCTCTCTCACATCGATGTGTCTCTCTCTCTCTCTCATTGATCTCTCTCTCTCTCTCTCTCTCTCTCTCTCTCTCTCTCTCATTCTCTCTCTCTCTCTCTCATAAATTTAAAAAAGAAAATAAAAAAGAATTCCACTATTAAGCCAGCTAGGTCTGCATCAGATGCCACCAACTACAAAAAGTGCGTATTCACCAATGCCCTTTGCAAACCTACCCCTAAGTGGTTTGAATTCCTAAGTACCATCGGACTCTACTACTTTTAAGATATTAATAATCATAATACAGGCAGTTAACAAGGGCTTTAGTGCATAACAGGCACTGTTCATAACACTTTATATATTTCTACTTCAGTTAATCCTCTCCACTTGTGATAGGCATTGTTATTATCCCCACTTAGACATAGTCATGAATGTCGGTCATATTTGTAGGTCTTTTCTGCACAGCTAGACTGAAGGCTCAAAAGGGCAAAGAGAATCTGTGCAAAATATTTAAAGATGTATGTTTAGAAGGCAAAGAACCTGGGTTCCAGTCTTGGTCCTACTGCTGTGTGATATTCGGCAAGTTACCGAACATCTCCAGGCATCAGTTTTAATTTGGAGAAGGGGATGCTAATAATACCTACTTTGAATAGCCATTATAAGGTTTAACTGAGTTTGTAGATACAAGAATTTGAAACAAGGTGTGGCAAATGGTGAGCATTTAAATGTCAGCTTATGTTATTATTTAAATAGCTATATAGGTTTCTGACAAAATGCTTGCTTCATAACTTTGCATCCCTATTCTCTCTGCCTGTGCCACTTTTCCCACCTCCACCGATCACTTCACTGCCAACTCGAAGAACATAAGGTCTAGGTCTCTGGATCTACCTCCAGCATCTTCTGCCCCCTTGCTAGGGAGCACTCCTTCTTTTGCCTCCTCTATTACTTTATGCCCAATCCTCTTGCACCATTTACCTCACTGTGCTGCAATTCCTTGTTATAATTCCTGCTCAGAATTATGAGCTCCCTGAGGATGGATGATGTCTTGTCTATGTTTAATCCCTAATACTTTAGCACACTGCTAGCTACCAGGAGCTGGATGCTCATTATGTACCTGTTAAGTGAATAAATAGATGTTTTAAAATAAATACCCACCCCTGTCCTGTGTGGCTAAGTTGGTTGGGCTTCATCCCATGCACCAGGAGGTTGCCAGTTCAATTCTTGTAAGGGCACATGCCAGGGTTCTGGGCTCCATCCCCAGTAAGGGGCTTGCAGGAGTCAGCCAATTGATGTTTTGTTCTCACATTGATGTTGCTCTCTCCCTCTCCCTTCCTCTCTCTCTAAAAATAAATAAACTATTCTTTTAAAAATAAATCCTATATAATAAAGGGCTAATATGCAAATTGACCAAACGATGGAACAACCTGTCACTACGATGCCCACTGACCACCACTGGGGAGACGCTCAATGCAGGAGCTGCCCCTGGTGCTCAGTGTACTCTCACAAGGGGAGTGCTGCTCATCCAGAAGCCCTGGCCTCCACAGCAGTGCTAAGGATGTCCTACTGTGGGGAGCAGACCTACGCTGTAAATCAGACATCCCCCAAGGGCTCTCAAACTGCGAGAGGGTGCAGGCCAGGCTGAGAGAACCCCCCAAGTGCACAAATTTCATGCACTGGGCCTCTAGTTAATTAATAAATGCTCAAATGATTAGATAGGAAAAAGTACCAATTCTTAGCTCACTACTACATAATTCACTAAAAAGTCATTCAGTCTCCCAAAGCTTAGAAAAGAAACTCTACTAAAACTAAATGTTTTATAAAAATAGAGGAGAGGGTCCTGTCAGGGACCCATGGCATTGCTATCAGCCACACATACACAGGCCACGCTTCCAAGCTATTGATGTTTTAGTGATCGACATTGCAGAAGTATAGGATCACCAGCAGTTCATCAACTGAAGACACTAACAAGCACACTGGCTGCTCAGATAGAAGCAGAGCATGTGGAAGGAAAATAATAATTAACTCCTAAAGAGAGGGGCAAGTAAACATTCTACTAAAAGGGGGAAAAACTCCCAAACAAATATAATCTCCTTCAATTATGCTATGAGCATTAAAATTAATGGTGTTGGTTTTTCTGTGGTTTGGGTAGTCATTGTATATAACAAGCCGAACTTAACTTCATAGGGAAAAGGGAAATAAATTAAATGTGCGGTGTCTCCGGAAACTTCATTTTCTGAGTGAATAGCCAAGTTGATGCACATCACCAGAGTGTCTGACAATCAGGTTTCCATACTGGTGTGTTCTAAATGGGAAAGGAAGCCAACTCTTCATTTAAATTATATTGCAAATCACTTCTTGCCCGCTGAATGGCATTCAGCTGCAGTAGGTGGCTTTCACTGCCTGGCCCCCAAATAGGACATTGGCTGATTAATGCTAATTTGAAATGTTTTCTTGGGGGGAGGGGGTGGGCATACTATCTTGGTGCATGTGAGGCGGAGGAAATTTTATGGTGGGTGACTGACTCAAAGGCCAACAGCATATTTGCCATCAGATAAAAATACACATTCACAAACATACCAAGACAAGTCAATTATTCCCTGATTCACCGTTCCCTGAGTCCCTTTGTGTAAAGAAAACTATTCATGCTCCCCATCAGACGGGTACACAGAATCATAGCAAACAGGCCCCGGATTCCGCTAGTCTATATTATATTTCCCAGGGCACCTTCCTCTGTGGAAGTCATTAGTTTTGGTCTTTTTGTTCCCGATTTACATACACAGACATTTTGCTAAGTGAGCTCAGCTTTAGTTCCAGACACAGAACAGTTAGGAAACATAATTTTGATGAACTGGAAAAAAAAGAAACAAAACATGCTTTGTAATTTTTTGATGTGGGTGACTGGGAATTTGTATTTCTCTACCTTGATAACTGATAGGTGGATAAACACTAAAATCAGTGCTCACAAGCTTATGATTCTCCCCCTCACACACACTTAATAGTTCAAAGAAACAAACAAACCCATCTTTGTGTTTTAATTACTCCCAATATAATGCACTTGAGTCAGATCATTCAAAAATAAAGAAATTAATCAGAACCGACATCTGAAAGAATTAACATGAGCCATCATATTTCACTTATTAAGTCAGCAACACTCTTTGAAAAGAAAATAATAATCAGTGCAATTCATCTAACTCAGGGAGGGGAGGGCGACCCTGCTCCCGGGTGTCCAGTCACATGGAGCATGCTCCCTGGACATTGCTGTCACTGATGATACGGAGTATGCGGCATAGAGTTGGGATTGTTTGAGTC